AATGGAGAGATATACTGAGTTCATGGACAAGAAGACTCAATATTGAAAATAAGTCATTTTCCTCAAAAATAATCTGTAACGCAATGCAGCTTCAATCAAATTCCCCAAAGTATTTTTTTCCACCTGTAATTAGAGAAGCAGATGCTACAATTTATATGAAAGAATAAAGGGCTAAAAATATAAAGCCAATTTTGAAGAATAAGAAAAGTGGAGGGGCTCATTTTTCCAGGTATCAAGACCTGTAAAATGCTAAAAATCAAGAAAGTGGGGAATTGATGAAATGAGAGACTGATAGAATTGAGAAAACTCAGAACAGACCCCCTCACACTATACACATTTGTCATGTAAGAATTAACCTTACAAATCAGTGAAGAAAGGACTGTCCAATAAAAGTGATGAAATGATTGTGTAAAGAAAAAGGTAGTGTGCTTATACATTGTCCTAAACATACAAAAAAGCTTAAAATCAGCTTAAAAACCTTTAAAAAGTGAAAAAGTTTAGGAAATAAAAACTTTAAAAGAAATAGGACAGTATGTTTATGACCTCGGATAAGGAAAGATATCTTAAAACATAGAGCCATATACAAAGACATGATTAAAAATGTATACAGTACAAGCCAAAGACTGGGAAACATGTTTGTGACAAAAGTAACTGACAGGGGACTCATTTCCAGATTATATAAAGATCTCTTGCCCATCAGTAAGAAAAAGACAGCCAGATAGTAAAATGGGCCAAGAATGTAAACAGTTATTTCACTGATGCGGAAGACAGAATGACCAGTGAACATGGAACAGTGCCTAAGCATTAGTAAGCATAGAAATGCACTTTAAAGTGGAATATAATATGTCATACTGGTGAGATTAACAAAAATGAAAATGTCTGATAGAACTAAATAGAACAAAGAAATGAAGAGTAAAAAATGTAAGTATGTCCTATGGGAATATTATGTTGGCAAATCGTTCTAGAGAGCAAAGCTGAAATATGGTTGATAAGTAACATGCTGTACAGTCCAGTCATCCTCCTCAGCGTGAGTGCCAGAGACATTCTCTCAGAATTATGCATCCCACCTCTAACTTTGTCTGCTTGGCCATCTGAACTCATTAGAAATCTCAGAACTCAAGGCATATAAGCAAATAAACCTAATGCAGAGCCCCTTATCTGGCACAAATCATCTTCCTTTAATTTCCTGAGAAATTCCTTCAAGCTCAGACTTCTCTCACATCACTCTAGAAGATTCCTAAGACCCAATTCAGAGAACTCTGATTTAAGTGAAATATTATGAGAAAAGAAGATTTCTTAGGATTTGCTGGAGAAATACTGTACTCGTGTGGTTAGAAACACTTGGTGCCCGCCTCTCTGTGTCAAGGTTTCCTGAGCCCCTATGAGCTGATTGTCAGTATCATAAAGCTTTACCTTGGAGATACTAAAGTAAATACTGCTAAAACTTTTAACTACTGGAAGGACTGGTTGGGTTGGGTTTGTGTCAAGTCTTGAAAGAAGACTGCAAGTGTGAAATCATGTCTAAATGATATGGAAGAAGATAGCCTTGTAGCACATGCTGCATTTTAACTCTTGGCTAGGGAATGGTGGCTCAGATGGTAAAGAATCCGCCTGCAGTGCAGGAGACCCAGGTTCCATCCTTGGAGAAGGGGATGGCAACCCACTCCAGTATTCTTGCCTGGAGAATACCATGGACAGGAGCCTGGCAGTCTATAGTCTGTGGGGTCACAAAGAATCAGACATGGCTGAGCAACTCACACTTTGACATTTATAGGGAATTTGAACAGACGGTGGTGTGATTTGCTTTTGTGTTGTGTTTTATTTTTTATGCATTTTTTTTCTGTGAAAATGTCACTGTTATCATTTTCATTTCTCGAACCCAGCATCTTTGGTGGACTTTAACCCTAACACACTCCCCACTGCATTTCAGGTTCCTCTGCTGAAGTGGGTTTATAAGCACTTACCTGTCTAAAGCCAGCCCCGACTGCTCCTTCCTCAGAAGTCTCCTGGTTTCTCTGACAGTAGTCCAAACTCTTATTCCTATAAAGGGAGTTTTACTGAGCAGCCTTGGGTCAGGAAGATCCCCTGGAGAAGGGAGCAGCTACCCACTCCAGTATTCTTGCCTGGAGAATCCCATGGACAGAGGAGCCTGGTGGGCTACAGTCCATGGGGTTGCCAAGATTGGACACAACTGAGTGACTAACACTTTCACTTTCACTTACTAGTTTAAGAAAATGGTTGGAGGCAGTGCAGTGTCCAAAAGAAAACTTCTTTTAGCCATTTTATTGTCTAAGAAATGGGAAGGAAATATAAAGTGAAGAAAAAATTAGTGTGAAGAGACATGTATATTTGGAAGTGTTTGTTAGATCCTACACAGACCGTCTGATTTTGAATCCTGGTTACATGACTTAGACGTGTTACTAAGCACTCTGTGCCTGAGTTTCTTCCTCTGAAAAGGGGGTAATAGTAGTCTTTTCCTTATAGGGTCCTGTGAGAAATGAATGGTTAATAAATATAAATGCTTACATAGTTGCTGGCATGTAACTAAGCATAAAATATATGCCAGCTGTATCTGTGTTATTATTTGTTCAGTATATTGATGATAATATAATCAAATAATAATACTGGTATTATTATTTATTTGTACTCCTCTGCTCCGTGAGCTCCGACAGCAAGGAGCTGGCCTCACCTGCTCCCTGTCATACTCTCAGGGCTGAGAACAGTTCCTGAGATGTGGTAGGCACTCACGTGCTTGTTGCTAAATGAATACAAGTTAAAATTCAGTTCCCATCCCTTTGAAACATTCCTGGAAATCTGAGACTAAAAGAATTCTTTCTCATATACATCATAGGCAGTTGTCAGAGTCAACAGATATTTTCACCAAATTCACCGTCAAAATACAAATGCCTGCTTTTTAACATGTATCTTGGATGTTCTGGCCAATTATTAAAATCTAGAAAAGAAATCAGAAATTATTCCTTCAGAAACAGAATGGACTTACTGTATTTGCTCTGATACAATTATATATCCATGAAATCCGAAAGGATCAACTAAAATCCTTCTTAAATTGTTGAGATTTTACAAAATGATCAGATTTGAGCCATACATAAAGAGATCATTTTCTAATGTACCTACCATAAATGAAGAAGACTGCTTTCTACAGAAGCAGCAAAAAAAGTAAAATAACTGACAATATCCCTAACAAATATGTGGAATGTGTCTTTTCATAAAGAAAATTAGAAAACTTTGTTGCAAGATTTAAAACTTTAGAAACATTATGACATGCCCTATTTCCAGGTAGAAATACTGAATATAATAGAAATTAAAATTCTTCCAAATATATAATGTTACATTAATGCAAATTTGCTTGTTTTTATGTGTTCATCTTATAAAAATTATCCTAAAATTTGTTACAAAATGTTCAGAAATGGTTTGATGGCCACACTTTAAGAACAAAGATTCATAACAATCTACTAGAAACTGGGGAGAATAAAACTCATACAAGTTCAGAAACTTTTAATATACTAATATGACATGTGTGACATCTTCTCAGTTATCCCAGTGGGTACAAATGTCTCATTAGCAGATAAGAGATCATATCATTTAATTTTATAGCAAGAATCTCAGATATAAGTGAGGCTGTAATTTGCCCAGAGTGTCACACAGCATGTTAGTGATGGCATCAAAATTATACTGATGATTCTAGGTCAACTGTAAGTGGTTGGTATAGAAAAAATAAATTTCTTCTTTAATCTGTGTACAAGGATGACAACCTTATCCCAGTTCACTCAGGACTTTCCTGATTTTAGCACTGAAAATCTCACGTCCCAGGGAACCTCTCAGTTATAGGCAAGCCGGTTACATTTGATTACCTTTGTACAGTTTATACAAAAGATGCTTAAGTCTGGAAGTAGTGTTTCCCATAAAATGTAAAGAAAATGTTTAATCTGGTCCAAGTAACCCATCTAGTGGTCCATTTGGGCCACAAGTTAATCTCAGTGCACAGAATTCCCACAGAAGGATTCATCAGTTCATGGGCTTTAGGATTTGGGTTCACTCAAGAAACTAGAGGGGGGCGTTCAGTAAGACCTATAATCATCTGTGGACCGAGCAGGAGGATTGGGGCCATGTGGCTTAGTCTTCTATCCTGCAGTTAATCTCTGAGCTTACGGTAATTTGTTTTATGTTGACTTCCAGAGTAATTTCCCCTGCAGGATGCACTTCTCAGCAAAAATCATTTTTCTAAGGATTTGTTTGCTTTCAGATCTTTCACTGTTGTCTTTCTAACATATATAAATCAGTGGAAATATCTTCCTGTATATAATTTGCTTATCTCTTACTTTTATCAGCAAAGGTCTTTAAGGTGATGTGTTATGTGATAGATGAATGTCAATAAAGATCTAATGCTTTTTTATGGGTGTGTGTGTCTTGTACTTAACATAGCTGCTAGTTTGATAATTGTGTGCTATTTCATAATGGGATTGTCCTCTTTATAAAATGAGGAAGAAGGAATTGTTTCTTTTTTAAGTTTTATTTTCCAGATTATAAATGCCATGAAAATTTCTAACACTAAATAAAATACTTTAGAAATTAACTAGAAATGCAGTTTCTTAAATTTCTACCATGTTAAGTCTTACTTATCATGAAGGTCTCTTTAAAAAAAGCAATGTATTAAAGTAAAACTCAAGTCCTAGTTATAATCCTGTAGCATGCTTAGATAGCATTGGGAAGTTGGCTGGTTTACCATGCTTAACGTAAAAGTCATGAATTATAATACTTCAGTTTGCACACAGTTCCAACAAATAAGACCACAAGCTGGTGAGAAGAACCTGCAAAACCATGCTTTTATTTATAAAGCAACTGTTTCTTCAACTTCTGCTGAAAATTTCCTACAGAATATATGGTCTGCTTGTAATAGATTATTTTGTAGTTATTGTGTTGAGATCTGCACTTCATTTCCTCCTGCTACAACTAAGATATTTTCTCTTATTATTTTTTAGTATCTAAAAAGCACGGCAAGCTCATTACTTTTTTACGCACATTCATGAAGTCTCGTCCAACAAAACAGAAATTGAAGCAGCGTGGAATCTTGAAAGAAAGAGTGTTTGGCTGTGACCTGGGGGAGCACCTTCTGAATTCTGGTTTTGAAGGTAAACATGAAATTTAAAATCTCATAATTTCAGTTTCTGACCTCTCCCTGTTGATCTCCTATAATCAGTTAGATACGGCAAGCAGCACCTGTTCCATTTGAGTCCAGCAGCACATACTGAATGTTCTCAGGTACTCGCCTGACTTTGGGGTAACTGAGAATCACGAGGGGTCTTGGGATGCACTTTGGCATTAGAGATGCTTGTCATCTGTTCAGAAAGGTGAAGACATTCTCACCAAGGGTACCGTAGCTCTGCTGATTTGCATTATTTTCATGTCTTTCCACATAACTTCCTCACTTTTCCTTCTCACAGTTTATTCTGAAATGTTAATTTCTCTTTTGGAAAAAAGTCATCGTTTTGAGATCGTGTATTACCAAGACCAGCTTCCCAGCTTTTATAGCTAAAAATTTAAATTCCTTTCTCTATAAATTAAATTCTTATTTAAGAATTCAGTGCTAGGAAGACTGGATGAAGGGGCTGAATGGATAGAAAGAAAGGAAAAATGGAGTTTTTCTTTGATTTTTTAAAAAATAGCACTTTTCTCTGCCATCTCTTTTAGATGCTAGAATATTAAGGAAGTACTTAACTATAATTTTGATAAGTACCAGAAATAGGTGATTTGTGAAATTCTGCATCTTGATGGGCAACACCCATTATATACTTTTTATGAAGACCACTAGTGAAAGTTAGTGTAAATATCAATAAGTATCAAGTTAAAATTAAGGCCTTACTCATTGCCTAAAGAATACCAATATACTTATAATATGGATTTAATACAAACTATACCATGTTTCTTGCGGGAGAAGACACAATATTACTTTAAATAGGTGTTAGTCCCAAACTAATATCAACTTACGGCAATTACTGAAAATTAAACAGAAAACAGACAAACCAAAAGCCTGAGGATTATTTTTGTAACTAGTCAAAATGCACATGGAATAATAAGCCAATGAGAAGATCACAGAACATTATGGGGAGGGAAATTAGGGACAGGAGACATCTAACTTTGCCACTATTAAAACAATATTCAAAACTAGAATGTTACTGATGTAGAGGATGAGATACAATTGATGAATGAAATAGCCTGGAATGTTCAGAAGTAGTCGTTGTTCTAGATATGAATCCATGCTGATAAAGTGTTTTTTAAAAACCAGCTCATGGGGAGGAGTTCATTATAAATACATACAGAAACATGAAAGAGCAATTTTGAAAAACTTAATTCTCGCTTTATGACCCTAAAAGTTTCAAATGTATGAAAGGGTTAACTATTTTTAACTCATAAGTGTTAATACGAAATGATTTTGTTTTGAGATCAAAGAGGAAGAAAGCCATAAATGAAGAGGTGATTTCAAACAAGCAGTTTCCATATAGAATAAGTCCCCTACATACGAAGAAGTTCTATTCTGAGAGCACATTCCTAAGTCGAGTTTGTCTGTTAGTCCAACAAAGTTACGTAGGTATCCAACTAACACAGTCGGCTATGTAGTACTGTCCTGTAATAGGCTTATAGTACTTTTCACACAAGTAATGCATTTAAAAAACAAAAAATAAAACATTTTTAATCTTACAGTACCTTGAGCAGTACAATACTGCAGTACAACAGCTGGAGCTTCCTAGTGGTACCAGCTGCATCATCGCTGCTTTGACGCTTGCTTCCAGACAGCCTGGGCTTGAAATAAAGATGCTACTATGTTACTGTTCTACTGTACTCTATATTGTACTGTACAGTACAGTATGTGGAAGCACAGCCACTTGTGGAGGAGCAGGCACCTGACAATATGCCAGACACACGAACTAACGTGTGTTTGGACATGTGAGTGCATGTTCACATCTTTGAAAGTTCACAACTTGAAGGTTCAAATGTAGGGCACTTACTCCAAATGGAAAGGAAAGGTGCCACAGACTGGGAAAGTCCTCTTTTCTTGGGTATGGTGAAATGCTCCTAATATAGTAAACGAAAATATCTTTCAGGCTTGTGAGAAAATTAAGCCCCTGGGTAGAAGAATAGAAAAAAGATATAAATGTATAATTTTGACAGGGAACTAAATAGTAAGCAAATGCAAAAAAATGCAAATAGTAAACGAGTGGAAAAAAAAAGTGTCTCTGCTTATTTGCAATCCTGGAAATGTATCTAAGCAATTTTGAGACACCATTTTATATAAGTAAATACTGCTGATATAACAAAGCTATTTTTCTAAATTATGATATCCAGTGCCATTTAAAACAGCAGAGATTTTTTACCAGCAGGTGAAAAATGTTGGTTTCAGGTAGCTCTGGGAATTACTGCCTTTTTGAAAAACATTTTGGCACTCGAGAGCAAGAGATCTTACAGTATTCCTTTCTTGTAGCAATTCTCCCTCAGGGTTATCCTAAGGCTATAATCCAACAAAAATAAAAATGTTCATTATAGTATTATGTATGAAAGCCAAAAAAATGAATATTCAGCTTTTTAGGGAAATTGCTGTATAAATTAAGAAGCTATTCAAACTGTAAATTTGAATACAGTATAGAAATTTCAAAGATGCTGCATTTTTCTTGCTTTATTGCTCTTTGCAGATACTGTGCTTTTTTAATGAACTGAAGGTATGTGGCCGCCCTGTATTGAGCAAGTCTATTGGTACCATTTTTCCAAGTGTTTGCTCACTTCAGGTCCCTGTGACACACGGTAGTTCACATAGTATTTCAAACTCTCCACCAGCAGAAAGACTACAACTCACTGCAGGCTCAGATCATAGTTAGCATTTTTTTTTTAGCAATAAAGTATTTTTCTAATTAAATGTATGTACATTGTTTTTCAGACACGATGCTGTGGCAGGCTTAATAGACTATAGTATAGTATGAACATAATTTATATGCATTGGGAAACCAAAACTTTATGTGACTTCTTTATTGTGATGTTTGCTGTATTCTGGTGGTCTGGAACTGAAACTGTAGTATTTCTGAGGTCTGCCTGTGTATAAAGAGTAGGTATGCTTTCTTGTGGTTTGCTGTTGCTATTTAGTCACTAAGTCATAGCTGACACTTGGCAACCCCTTGGACTGTAGCCTACCAGGCTCCTTTGTCCATGGGATTTCCCAGGCATTGAACCCATGTCTCCTTGGGTCATAAAGATGCCCTGGAGAGGGAAATGGCAGCCCACTCCAGTATTCTTGCCTGGGAAATCCTATGGGAGAGGAGCCTGGTGGGCTATGGTCCATGAGGTCACAAACAGTCAGAGGTGACCGAGCAGGCATGCACTCAAGAAGGAATAATCATGGTGTAAACAAATAAATATTAATTCAAAATGACATAGTTCTGTTGGCATCTAGAACCCAGGATAGCTACCTTTGCTTAGGGGTATATTCAAAGAAAGCTTGCCTAGGAGTGAGAGTTCAGTTGGGTTTTGAACAGCAACCAAGAGTTTTCTATAAGAAGATGGTAGCAGAAGGAGAATCCAGGCAGAGTAAGCTGACTTCTGGAAATTGATGGACTTAGAGCGTGGCTGGTTTGTTTGGTAAAAGATGAGACTTAACTTGGCCTAGAGTTGTAATACTAAAATAAGTGCAAATGGTGAAGGACCTTAAAATCCAGGTAGTGTATTACCATAGTTAAAGTGTGACTCTGTGCTTGGACAGCTTGAGTTTGATCCTTATTTGTGCCATTTGTTTACTGCTTTTCCTTAGGTGTAAAATTTCATCGCTCTAAGATTCAGTTTCCTCTCTGAAAAGGGAGGTAATGATATAATTTCTCTGAAAAGTAAATGAGAGTATCCATTGTGAAATACTTAGTCTGGTACCTTTTGCTTGCTCAGTAATATACCTGCTTTCTAATAAAACTATTCAAAGCTAAGGAGTTTATGTTTTAAATATAAGTTACAGGATCTGACAGAATTTAAAAGACAGGATGCAGGAAGTACAACACAAGGCAGGAAAACCGAGGAAAAACCTTTTGTAATAATAAAGGAATGATATACACGTTTAAATGAAATGCAGTAGATAAGATTATCTTATTAAAGTATCTTAGTTGTTTCATTCACCTCTCTTTCATCCTTAATAGAATAGTTTTTTGCAGACCAAATAATGTTCTTTCAAGCTATTCTTTTCATGGATTGTAAATAAAAATGATGACACGAACATAGTTACTGAAGCCTGTGAATTCATCAATCTGCAATGCAATATAAATGAAGTTCAAATTTCAATTACTGTAGATTTTTGGTTAAAAAAACATTTTCTCATAAGCTTTGAGTGTTCTGTTCTAGAGCGTAGGCCCAGAGTAGCTGGCTGTTTGTGTCAGTTGTTCAGAGGTAACCAGGGAGCCTTTCTTTTCTTCCTGCTTTTTGTTGAAGTGCGTTTCATGACCTGCTGATACTATTGAGTCAAAAGTCAGTAATTTTAATATAAAGATAGGCAGGAAATTAAAAGATTCCATTTACTTGAAATTACTTTGACCTTTGCATTACCTTGATGTTTATTGGATATAATTAGAATTACCATTAACTATGAAAAGATAAAAGAAACTTTTATTTTTTTTATTTTTTTTTTTTAAGAAACTTTTAAAGGTGAAAAATTGAAGCATTTAAAGTAGGTAATTATCATGTTGGGATAAACATTTAAGTTTGCGTATCCATTTGCTGAGTATGAAATTCAGCTGAGTAGCTGAATCTAGAATGATGTTAGAACTAAACAGTTCACCTTGCTATTTTAATATAATTTAAATGAGTCTATTGCAGAAGATCTTAGAGAACGTATCCCAAAAATTAATGAACTCTTCCACTTACCTCAGTGTAACAGCATAGAGCCAATCTTGATTATTCAGGAACCAGTTATCTAGTTTAGATGTGAAATTAACATAAATATGCCCTTATCATTTTTTGTGGTAGATTAATCTCCACCCCATATAGTTTTAGTTTGCAACTTTCATTTTGCTAAGACATTCTTACTTTTTGTGACTTTGTTTCCATTGAATACTCTCAATTTAATCCATGTCTTCCAAAATTTTCTCTAGTGCCCCAGGTTCTTCAAAGCTGCACAGCGTTCATTGAGAGATATGGCATCGTGGATGGAATATATCGTCTCTCTGGCGTTGCCTCCAATATCCAGAGACTACGGTAAAACCCAACATGGCTTTTTCTTTTTTATTCCTACTGTAATTCATTAAAATGAAACACTTTCAAAATTAAGTCACTTACATTGATAATCATTATTTTCTGTAAGATAGTTTAGATAAAGTAAAAAACAGTATCTATATTGTTCTCTGTGTATGTTTTCGACATTTCTTCATTTGTAGTGTCAGAAACCATGGCCTCTAATCTCAATACTTGTATTTTCTCTGCAATATTTGAAGATTTTTTAAAAATTGAATTTGAACCTGTGACAACTATGATAGATGAAAATTTACATTGTAATAGAATTATTCTTTAATTAAATTGACAAGAGTGAACCTGCTTATTTATTATTATTTTTAATAAGAATGAAACTTTTTCTAATCTTCTTTCACCCAAGTTCTGTAGCATGTGCTCAAGTGTGTGTATGTGTCACATATTCCACATCCTTTCCCATTAAGACCCCCAGAGACAAAATTAGTGGTATCTTTTATACCAATAGAAATTTTAACTTTTTCTTAATCTCTTAGATTCTTGTCTGTTCTTAACATGTTATTATCTTTTATTTTTCACTGTGGTACATGGTAATTGCCATTATTCTGTAAGGATTTTAATATTCTAAATTGACCACAGAGTTGATTTCTACTTTCAGAATACATGTTTGGAAAATACTTAAATTGATTCTGGTACTGAAGACAGTATAGTCTTTGACTTCAGATACATCAAATCTTGTATTCAGATTAATCCTCTAAGTTGACAAGTAGCCTCTTGTCTGTAGATTAATATTAGTCAACCTCCTGGAGAATAAGCTTAATCTGCCTTAGTGTTCTGAGCACAGTTTTTATTTCATTCACTTTAATGCTGTGGGTTTTACTTTCCATGTTGGCAGAGAATTGTTTTATATTGTTTCTGTCTTCCTTATCCCTCTATCATAGCACATTCCTGAACTGTGCTTCTTGCATCTGAGGAATTTCTGCACATAGTTTTTCATAGACCAGCTGCCATTCAACTCTAATTTTCAGAACTGCCAAAATATTGGGCATCTAAACAGTTAGGAATTAGAAGTCCTATGTTTTGATCTGTGTGGTAAGAGCTGCTCTTTCACACAGGTTTCAGAGATATCTGTCCATTTTAATATTAAAACTATGCCCTGAATTTCTACTTAGAAAAACACTTGTCTCATAGTCAGAATTCAATTACTGCTGAATAACTTCTGCGAAATACAGTCATTTGAAGTAAATATTTGCTCACTGAGCTGGAGGTTAATACTTTGGACCTTTTCTTTCTGTTTTAAAGTCATATTTGCTTTTCTTTGAAAAAAAATTAGTTTTGTTGTCTCTCTTCTATCTTTTTAGCCATGAATTTGACTCTGAACATGTTCCCGACCTGACAAAAGAACCCTACGTCCAAGACATCCATTCCGTGGGCTCTCTATGTAAGCTGTACTTCCGAGAGCTCCCCAACCCTCTGCTCACCTACCAGCTGTATGAAAAATTTTCTGTGAGTACCAGTCACATTTAAATCAAGTTCTGTTTGCAATTTTGCTGTGGTTTTAAGTTGATTTCCCCATGAAAGAAATAGTTATATGAATAAAAGAGCTCCTTTAAAGAGAAAATATTGATAAAGAACACTTACTGCTAGTTGGTCCACAGTCTTCACTGTTTACACCTTTTCATCCATTCAGCCTCTGACTTTGAGCCACTAATCTTACTATAACCCTTGGTTATATGTTGGTTATCATAAAGTTTTAAAAATATTGTCTTGTATTAGATTTCAGCATCCACATAGCATGTGAACAAAGTTTACTTCTTTGGTACTACATTGTTTTTCCTCATTGTTCGGTGCCAAAGAGCAAGGTCAATGAATTTCAAAGTGAAACTGAATTGTAAGTGAAGAACTTTCATTGTTACCAACACAGCCTACTAGTTTATTTTGCATTATGGTTGTTCCAGGACGCTGTTTCAGCAGCAACAGATGAAGAAAGGCTGATAAAAATTCATGATGTTATCCAGCAACTCCCTCCACCACACTACAGGTAAACCACGTGCTGTGAAATGCCAGCCAAAAGTAGAAGTCAGTTGTGTGAACATGGGCTCCTGGGGTTTCTAACTGTTGAAATTTCCTTGGAGTTCTGACTGTCTAAACTTCCATTTTTCCATACATTTGTATTTATATTTATCATTATGTTCCCAGGGTCTGGGCACCATGCTTGGCATCCAGCAGGCACTCTGGAGCCCTCTCTTCTGTTGCTACTCTCACAGCCCAGTTTAATTTGTATGTTAACTTGGACTCTTGGAAGTAGTTTGGAGGATTTAGTTGTAACTTTCCTCTCCCCCACTGGCACACAACCACACACAGCCGCTTTTCTCATCTTCCTAGAATGGTTGTATGAGTGCTTGGTGTTGATTTTCTACATTGCTGTATCTATGTAACTGTTATTTAAAACTACATCTAATAGTATGCATGTGTGGCATGCATGCTCAATCACGTCCAACTTTTTTGAGACCCCATGGGCTGTAGCCTGCCAGGCTCCTTTATCCTCTGTCCATGGGGTTCCCCAGGCAAGAATATTGGAGTGGGTTGTCATTTCCTCCTCCAGAGGATCTTCCCGACTGAGGGATTGAACCCATGTCTCCTGCACTGGCATGTAGATTCTTTACCGTTGCACCACCAGGGAAGCCCAATCTAATAGTATACCAGAATGTTTTTCCCCCTTCTGGGGTAACCTTGTTTTTTTCATGGAGTGATGGCCTGTTTGGGGTTTGCTGAGTTTCTTGTTATCGCTAGCTTGTCTCCTGACTCTGTCACAGAATGATGAGTATTCTCTCAGTTGTGTTTAAACATATCAAGCTACGTTTTAAAAGAAATGTTTCCCCGTGAAAACACCCCTTGTGGTGGCTTCAGTCCCGCCACTCATCCAGAGTGCCTCTCGCTAGGTCTCCTCCACGGAGCGCCGGCTCTTTCCCTCCTCCTGGAACCTCCCTTCTTCACTTCCTTCCTGACTTAAACCCCTTCTCCTCTGGACCACCTGCCTGTCACTTGCCCGTCACTAGGGTCCACTCCCTGCTTTCCTAGTGTCCATCTTTGGTAACTGTCTGAGAAAAGGTGTGTGGGAGGTGTATATGAGGAGACTTTGTTATGAAAATGCTCTTATTCGCCTCATACTTTTGACTGACAGTTGGGTATAGAATTTTAGTCTGTAAATAGTATTTTCCCATAATTTTGATGGTATTGCACCACTGGCATCTAAGCAAAAATGCTGCAGCAAAGTCTGATACCAGTTAGAGTGCCACTTTTTTACTATGACCTATTTTGCGTTGTTTAAATCCTTTCGGATGCTTTTAAATTTAGAACCTACCTAGTGGCTCATTTCTATAGTGACTCATCTTGGAGCAGGCTCTTTTTCATTCTTTGCTCTGGGCACTCATTGGGCTTTCTTCCTCTGGAAACTTCTGAGAAATTTTCTTGTGTTATTTCCTTGCTGGTTCTCACAGCAGCTTATGCCTCATCCCTTTTCTTTATTCTCTTTCTAGAATTGTTTTTATCTGCTGAACTAAACTCTTTTGAGCTTCTTACCTTTTCTTTGTCAGTTTCCACGTATGGATTTTCTCCAAACCATCTCATGATTAAGAACACAGAATTCTAAGAACTAACTGCCTTCCCTCCCTCTCCTTCTCATTTCTCTGAATGTTTCTACTTTATGTGTATAATCTCTTCTCTCTGTGAAAATATTACCGGTAATCATAGATTTGGTTTTGTTTTAAATTGTTCTCTCCTTATCACAGTATTTGTTTCTTCCTCATGTGGCGGCTTATCTTCCTTTCCTTCTTGAGTCACTGTCAGGCTCATCTGAATCCTGAAGACTCACACGTTGACCACAGTTTAACTTTCATTGCTGTTTCAAATAATACTCTTAAACTTCTATCTTCCATTTATTGTCTTTAATAGTTTTAATCCCTATAAGGTAAGGACATTTTGAGAGATGTATCGGTAATACCTTGTGTTTATCTAACTTAACTTACATTTAAGCTGATCATTCTTTATTTTCCAAGATACTCTGCCCTATTGTTAAATCTCTCTCTCTATAAAAAAATTGTTTACATGAATCACACTTGAGAATATATAAGATAAACCAGGAATTAGGATTTAGAGTAAGCTTTCTGTTCCAAGAGCTTGTTATTTGCTCAAATAGTCTCCTCATTGGTACCTGCTGGAATTTTTCTTTTAACTCTTTTTAGGCTTGTGAAATCTTGTCATTTTCTTTTATAGAAGAAAAATTTAAATTCTCTCATTAGCATATCTGCTGCAAGTAGAATACCATGACTTCATGATAGCGTTTGTCTGGAAACTGAGTTTTGAAGGATTCACTTCACTGATGTCTCTGAAACTAGATGTGTAACAGGCAGGAACAAATATTCCTAAAGATTTCTTTAAAACTAAGGCTGTTTCATTTTCTGAGCAAATCCTATCAAAAACTTTCATTTCTTACTGCATCTGCCTTAGACAATTTTTTCTTGATATTCTGTGAATGTAATTACTATATATAAAATCCATGTTACTCTGACAGTTCTGTAGAAATAATAATATTTAAACCTTATAGGCAACAGAAAACTTAGATGGGATCTATAGGGTTTCTTTTTCCATTTTTCCATTGAAAACTTACAGATTAATTAGTGGAGCTTTTCTGCTCTATACTACTACCTGATGTTTCTTTGTGTTAATATGTTGCATTTCATTTTCCAGAACACTGGAGTTCCTAATGAGACACTTGTCTCTTTTAGCTGACTATTGCTCCATCACAAATATGCATGCAAAAAACCTAGCAATCGTTTGGGCTCCAAACCTGCTAAGGTAAGTCGCATTTGACTCATGACCTAAAGTAGAAACAATCAAGTAACAGTCTAATTCTTCAGTGTTCTCTTAAGGAGAATTTTTATTTATTTATTTTAAAAATATTTATTTATTTGATTGTGCTGGGTCTTACCTACAGCACGCGGGATCTTTAGTTGTGGCATGCAGACTCTTAGTTGCAGCAAGTGGGATCTAGTTTCCTGACCAGGGATTGAACCCAGGCCCTCTGCCTTGGAAGCGCAGAGTCTGAGCCACTGGACCACCATGGAAGTCCCCAGGATAATTTTTAAAAGTAAAGCTGATCTGTTGTTTTCATGAGTGTCTTCTTTAAAACAGGCGGTCGAGGTTTAGCCAAGGCACTGTCAAAGTGTGCTTTCTTCCTGTGGTTCACTTGTAATTTACACACAAACCGAAAGATAATGCTCTTCAGGATTACTGTTCTGGGGACCCTCTGATGGTAGTGTCGTTTACCCCACAGATCAAAGCAGATAGAATCTGCCTGCTTCAGCGGGACCGCAGCTTTCATGGAAGTGAGGATTCAGTCTGTGGTTGTAGAGTTCATCCTCAACCACGTCGACGTGCTCTTCAGTGGGAAGATCAACGCAGTCGTTCAGGAAGGGGCAGGTAGGCCCACATGGACGCTCTTCCCCGCTGGGAACACGTCTTTAAACCTCCACTTCTTCAGGGAACAGCGTCTCTTATCGCAGTTTAATAAATCTGTCTCCAGAGAGAGCAGCTAATTTATTCTGCTTCCCAACACTCACAATTGAGCAGTTGCGTTATGTGTTTTTAGTGAATACTAAATATTAGACCTACCATGATCTAAGTTCAGGGAACATAAAAAGTGTATCAACTCACCTATTACTGATGTGTGTAAAAGTGTAATATAGAGCAGCAGAAGAAAAACTCCTCCCAAAATTAAAAATGCATGACTGACTCTAGGCCTTGTCTTCAAACCTTTAAGAAAGGAAAATAGTTAAATTATTAGTTAAATACTTAAGGAATTTTATACTTGTATCTATCACTGTTAATAACATAGTATGTCATTTTCTATTCCTCAGTATAAGGCTCGGTTACTTTTGCCATTTAGAAAATTTAATAAAGAAAATTTAAAACAACACAGAAAGGTAGATAGATAGATAGACAGGTAACCAGATTGTTATGCACACACTCACGGATATTTATATTTTTCCCTCATGTCAGAAAGTTTGAGTCTCGTCATTGCTTTTTTTTTTTTTCCCTTTTCAAAGCTTCTCTATCAAGACCCAAGTCCCTGCTGGTCTCGTCTCCATCTACCAAGCTGCTGACCCTGGAGGAAGCCCAGGCGCGAACACAGGCTCAGGTCAATTCTCCAATTGTGACCGAAAATAAATACATTGAAGTAGGAGAAGGACCTGCTGCACTCCAGGGGAAATTTCATACCATCATCGAGTTCCCACTTGAAAGGTAAAATTCATTTAGTCCACCTCAGAACTGTGTGTTTCATGACTATTTGTTGTTTTCTTTTCTTTTACTTTGGTATTTTAGTATTATATATTGATTCTGTCAGTCTCAGAAAAACCTGTTCATTCGACTGTGGATGTTACTTCACGGGAACTGAAGCAAAGGGTTATCAAGAAGCATCGCATCAGATCTTAAGAGAAACAGAGAATCAGAACTGGGGAGGGCACTGTCGGAGTCTGAGAACCACTGCTGTTCACATTCTCAGCGTCCTCTCCAGCTCTGATTCTGTTTCTCTCTAAAGAAACCATGAGCACGTGGTTTCTGTCACTTCTTTTCTGGTTGTGAGCAGACTAGTGTCCGTGAGTTAATTTTGATCTCAGGTCGCTGCTCTGGCTGCTCCATAAGAATGTCAGGATTTCAGCTCCCTGGGTTGGGTCGCACTCATAGAAGTTCATTTCCATATGTTAGTATACCTTTCTAAATTCTTTTCACTTCCCTTGACCGAAATGTCCTGACAACAGAAAGTTAGAACATACTCTTTTACTTTATCATTCTGAGTTTGTCTTCGGCTTCTTGAATTTTTTACTCTATAATTTCCTCAAAAACCTTTTTATAGAATAGTAATCAAGAATGTCGACGCTGGGTGGACCTGGGTTCCAACCTTGACTCCATCATTTACCAGTTTTACAACGTTAAACTTCTGCTTCTTACTCCCTCAGCTGTACAATGAGAATAGTACTTCAAATGACAATAATAGTACCTACCTCAAATGGTTTTATATAACTTAAACGAGATACCATGTAAACCAGTTAGCATAGTGCCTGGCATTTAGTTTATATTAGTTACTTTTCTTAGTGCTTTGCTTCTTTTTTGGCTTAATTCTCTTTACCCACACCTAGAATCATTTTCTTCAACTCTATTTTATTTTTGGAGATTTAATATTTCCTCTTCCTAAATATGTTATTCTCACTTATTTCACAGACTGTGAGGTTAGCTCTCAGTATGAAAATCTGGTGAAGTTATCTTTGTGGAACTAGTGACAACTGTTCAAGTCCACGCGTTTAATCCTCATTTCCTGCTTCAGCGGCGCAGCTCAGCCGTGCCGGGTGGCGCGCGTTCTGTGGAAGGCGGGTGTCGACTATGTCCACCATGCCTCTGCAGGCTGCTTGCTCTTTCCATCATGTGTTCACCTTCAGTGAGGAAAGGTAGCCTCTTGGATGTCTTAATGTAGACCGTTTTCTCTCTCCTAGGAGGAGGCCTCAAAATAAAATGAAAAAGTCTCCTGTGGGCAGCTGGCGTTCCTTTTTCAACTTGGGGAAATCCTCATCTGTTTCTAAACGGAAGTTGCAGCGTAATGAGAGTGAGCCCTCCGAGATGAAAGCCATGGCTCTGAAAGGTGAGTGTTCACACCTTCCCTTCCCTCTGGCGCCCAGGAGCGGCCTGTGTGGGGCTGCACCTCCCGTCCTGTCACACGGCTCTTCTCTTACCAGGACACACACTCAGCATGTTGTTGTCACAGGCGCCAACAGGATGTGTCCTCATTGTGCTGTTGCGGGTGAACTGTCCCCTACCAATGCTTTATCCCCAAATACATAGTATATATAAGTGCGTATAAGTTCCGTTTCTTTGGAAACTATACGGATTATATATAGTGTCAGTGTGTTTAAATATTCACAGCTATTTGTAATACAGTTTGTATATGGTTGGTAATAAAAAGTAACTGCTGTGGTATTTAAACTTGTTAGTCTTATATATTTATAGATTTTTAAGAAATGACGAAATCAGGTTTCAACATGCGTGTAAGAGTTTTAAATCTTATAACCAAAGAAGGTGTCTTTTTCCTAGATGATACGTTGAAATGAGAGTATCTTATGGGATAGATAAATCTATTTCTATGTTGTTCAAAGTACTGCTCTTTTAAAAATCATTTAAATTTACTGCTATTAACAGGTTCTGAATCTGTTAGTGTTTACTTCTCAGGCAATGCTAGAAATACAGCGTTCGATTCATTTAATTCATCATTCTTTCAGTTTGCAATCATGTACTAAGCATGTGCTAGATATTTTGATAGCAGTCTCTGCAGAAAGAAAGAAAATTAAGACACTGCTTCCAACCTTCATGTCTTACTTGGGACATATGTGTAAGAAAATAAATTTTGTGCAGAATCATAGCTATTGAAATTGAGGCTTATGTGAGGCATTTATGGCAGGAGTGGTCAATTCCTATGGGGAGAGAGGTGGGTGGTCAGGAAATAGAACCTGAGACTTGGGTTTTGAAGGATAAGTAGGGATTCACCTGACCAGCAAGGGACTGAGAAAGGTGTTTCGGGAAGTGGTAAGCAGAGCGTGTGTTGGTGTGTGGAGCAGGAAGCGTGAAGAACACACGGGTGGGATGGTACACACAGAGGTCCAGGTCTACTGGCCCAGGGTGCTTGTTGGGGGTGTGGTTTTGTTCTGCATTCCTTAGGTGTCACTCAATGGCTGCAGTATGTAACATGATCAAGTTTGGGTTTAAGAAAGATGACTTTGGCAGCAGTGTGGGGAATGTGCAGGAAGAGGATAAGCCTGGAGTCTGGACGGTAAATCAGGAGACAGTTACAGCTGTGCAGACAGGAAACGAAGAGCATCTGCAATAAGCAGTGGCTTTCGGAGTGGGAGATAGATTTGAGAGGTATTTATGAGGCAGAATCGACGGGTGGGCAGAAAAATGGTTGTGAAGAATGAGAAAGGTAATTGTCAGGTGTTGATTAAATAGTTAGGGAGTTGCTATTATTCCTGAAGGGAGTAGGTTTAGGAAGAAAAATGATATGTTAATTTTGGATGCAGTGAATTGGAGCTGCCCAAAAGGTGATTAGTAGTGGGGAACGGGAATTCAATAAAGGGGTTTAATCTGACTAGAAATACAGATTTGAAACTCATCAGCAAACCAAGCATGAGAACCCTAGGGATATTTTTTTTATGGCCAAGGGAAAGCCTGCTGAGTGAGAGAAGCAGGTTGGAGGCTGAATCCTGGAGAACAGCAGTGTTTAGAGGGTGGCGGAGGCAGAGCTGTCACGAAGGAGAGTGAGAAGAAATGGTCCCTTGGCAGGGACAGAAGACACGGTGGTTGTTGTGCAGTTGCTAAGTCATATTTGACTCTTAGCGAACCCATGGACTGCATGCTGGCGTGGACTGCAGCACGCCAGGCTTCCCTGTCCTTCCTCATCTCCCAGAGCTTGCTCAAACTCATGTCCATTGAGTCGATAATACCATCCGACCATCCCATCCTCTGTGATCCCCTTCTCCTCCTGCTCTCAGTCTTTCCCAGCATCAGGGTCTTTTCCAGTGAGTCGGCTCTTCACGTCAGGTGGCCAAAGTACTAGAGCTTCAGCTTTATCATCAGTCCTTCCAGTGAGTATCACAAAGGAAGGGCTTTATAGGGAAATGTCAGCAGCGTTGAGCTCTGCTCAGAGATTGAAAGAGGATGAGGATATTTCACAAATAAATCCAACACTTGTAATCAATTAAACAACCTCTGTTAGTTTCCTAGGGCTACCATAGCAAATTGTCACCATCTGAGACAGATTGGCTAAAAACAACAGGAATTTATTTCCTCACAGTTCTGGAGGCTAAAAACTGAAACCCAGGTGTCAGCAGGGCCATGATCCCTCTGAAGGATCCAGAGAATCCTCCCTGGCCTCTCGCAGCTTTGGGGACACCTGTGTCCCTGGCTGTGGTGGTACCACTCCAGTCTCTGCCTGTGTCTTCACATGGCTTCCCCTCTGTCTCTCTGCAGCTTCTCTTGTTAAAAGGACACCAGTCATTGGATTTAGGGCTCATTCTAAATTCAGTATGAGATCATCTCAAGATATACCAGTCTTTAGGAAATATAAAAGTAAGTTTAAAAATTCATCTCTATTCTGAAGTTTATTATTCTTTAAGAGATTTTTCACATAGGAAACCACTTGAGAAGAGTACAACACATTATATAAAATGCAAAATTGAATACAGTTGTAAAAATTAATCATTCTTGAAAGTTTAAATACATGTACAGAAAAACACTGTCCCCTTTGACTACATATGTAAGAGTGAATAAAACATCATACTGTTTGGTTTTGATTCTTCAGGTGGCAGGGCAGAAGGGACCCTCCGCTCAGCTAAAAGTGAAGAGTCTCTTACTTCTCTCCATGCAGTCGATGGTAAGACTAAAGCATCAGTTGTTTTATTCTAGAAATGTATTTCATAAAAAGATACACTGCTTAATAAATAGGCTGTAGATTATAATTTCCTAAAAATACTACTTGTTGTTTAGTCACTAAGGCACGTCCAACTCTTTGCAACCCCATGGACTGTAGCCCATCAGGCTCCTCTGTCCATGGGCTTTCCCAGGCAAGAATACTGGAGTGGGTTTTCATTTCCTTCTCCAGAGGATCTTCCTGACCCAAGGATCGAACTCATGTGTCCTGTATTAGCAGACAGGTTCTTAACCACTGAGTCACCAGGGAAGCCTCAAAATACTAGTATCTACTTAGTATTGTCCATTGATGCTTTAATATGGTGGGCTTCCGTGGTGACTCAGAGGTTAAAGCGTCTGCCTCCAATGCGGGAGACCTGGGTTCAATCCCTGGGTTGGGAAGATCCCCTGGAGAAGGAAATGGCATCCCACTCCAGTACTCTTGCCTGGAGAATCCCATGGTCAGAGGAGCCTGGTAGGCTACAGTTCACAGGGTCGCAAAGAGTCGGACACGGCTGGGTCCTAGTCTTTAATTTCTTCACTTTTGACATGATTGTGATTCAGTTTACATAAAAGTAGGTAAAGTGTTTAAGTTAACCATTTATATTTATTAATGCCCAGTAAAAGATGGTGTTAAGAGTATTTCTTTAAATTTCAAAATGAGAGCACAGTGCTTGTCACAGAGTATAAAATTAAGCAGTATTGATGTTCAGACCAGTGACCTTTTGTCTTGCAAATTTAATGTGACCTTAAACCTCATATATCACTGGTTAGAGATAGCCCTTATTATCTGAGGAGGATTTTCTACCCGGAGAAGGCTACTGAAAGTGAATCTGCTTAAAATGGGGACAAACATGTTACGGTTAATAGTACAAAAGGATTTGACTGCAACTTGGACAAAACTAAAAATGTTGAAAATAACTTTTTAACCTTCCATTTAGCGTAAGTCGGGTTACAGTTGCAGTTCTGTACTAACTTCCAGAATGAACAAAGGTTACATCAGTGCTGACCTGGAAGGAGGCAGAATTTCTTTGACAAAACCAGGTAGCAGCAGATAGCACTTCCCCCACATCAAGACTGGATTGTGTGGGAGGATGGGAAGAAGGCTTTGTTGCAGAAGTGATTGAGAGCTGCATTGATTTCCTGCAGACTTTTCTTAATCTGTTGGTTTTCAGATTGTGCTCTTCTGAAGTTTCCTGGAGGTGTCCTCATCCCGGTCAACTTTCTCATCCTCATTTATAACTTCTAACTGCCAGGTCCTATTGACCCATGGCTCTACTTGGGATTCAACAAATCCCTGCCTTTCATGTCAGTGCGGTGTCTGCCATCGTCCTGATTTTCTGGGATTTTCCATTTCACTACAGTTGAGAGTGGTTCTGAAAAATAGTGCAGTGGACTGGCTAAGTGCTTGTAGTGAGGTGAAAATAAAATTTGAGTAGGGATTAATTTTATAAGTGGTCAACACATTAGTGGATGTATTTGTGTTAAGACAGTGTCTCTTTATGGTACTTGGTCACTATGGGTCATCACTGTAACAGAATAATGAGATTGAGATGGAGGACTTCTCTTACCAGTTGGATGTTTAGCAATATCATAAAATAAGGTAATATTATTACCACTCTTATGGCCTCTGCCCGACAAGCTTAAAGCCTGTTCTTGTTGAAGAAAAAAATAAAATTATTTTTAAATATCTGAAAGGGATACATTACTAAATATAAAATTATACTTTACTAAATATAAATACTTTTTTTGAGAAGTTCAATTTTGTAGAAATGTGGGTATGAGGATATTTCCCCACAAAAACAAAAGAATAAAGCAAAAAAAAAAAAGCCCTCTTTCTGTTGCCTATCCGAAGTACCATTTAAAGTGAGTAGTTGTACCTCACAAGTCATGTGTGAAGTCAGTGATAAAACAAGACAAAAAGAAATAAAAACTTGCCCAAAGTCACAAGAGTCCATGTTGCAATAGTAATAGAATCTAAGAGTTCTGAGTCCTTTTTCCTATGGAAACCATCCAATGCATCCTGCCTCCAGTGGTATCGAGTGAGTCTGTTATTGAGTGTTTGCTTTGGGGGTTCCATCTGTGCACCCCAAAAGACGGTTGCGTTTCCTTACTGTATGTAGTGCATCTCTGCTGTACTAAGTAGGTGACTCATAGGGCACCGTGTGTCCTGGGACATTCATATTCTGACACTGCTACCCATTTTTGCCAGGTGACTCCAAGCTGTTCCGACCCAGAAGACCCAGATCTAGCAGTGATGCCCTGAGCGCCTCTTTTAACGGCGAGATGCTGGGGAACCGCTGCAACTCCTACGACAACCTGCCCCACAACGGAAGCGAGGAGGGAGTCGGGCTGCTGCACATTCCGGCTCTTGTGTCTCCGCACTCAGCTGAGGATGTTGACTTGAGCCCACCAGACATCGGAGTGGCCAGCCTGGATTTTGATCCGATGTCATTTCAGTGCAGTCCTCCTAAGGCCGAATCAGAATGTCTGGAGAGCGGGGCTTCCTTCTTAGACTCCTTGGGCTACTCCAAGGATAAACAGAGTACCAGTAAGAAGGATACGGAAACAGGCGGTAGCCAGTCACAGACTCCAGGAAGTACTGCAAGTTCTGAACCTGTGTCTCCTCTTCAGGAGAAGCTGAGTCCATTCTTCACCCTGGACTTGAGCCCAACTGATGAGAAAGCATCGAAGCCATCCTCGTTCACCGAAAAGGTCGTCTATGCTTTCTCTCCGAAGATTGGACGGAAGATAAGCAAATCACCCTCTCTGAACATATCCGAGCCCATTTCAGTGACCCTTCCCGCCCGGGTGTCAGAAGTCATCGGCCCCGTCGCAAACACGGCAGCTCAGAATGCACCTTCTGTAGCCTGGAACAAAAGTGGTGAAGAAAGTGATGTCATAAATAGATCCCCAAACCAGGTAGTAAAGAAAAAAGCAAACGAGAGAGAGGCCCAGGAAGGGTGTGAGTGTGAAGCCCAGCCCCCGGACCAGGGGGCTGCCGCAGACGTAGACTCACCAGGGAAGGAGGAGCCTGCCTCAAGCAGTCAGAGTAAGGCTGTACCTTCTGGACAGACTCAGACAGGTACCATTTGTTTTCCTCCATTCTTGCTTTAAGCTAAGCGGGATCTTCCACCAACTGTGCCTTTTAAGAGAGAAATTTACTCCACAGCTAGCCTTTTATCAAAGAGAATGTTTTTTTCTAGGTGGTGCTGATGGCTCAAAGCCCTAAATTAAAGTCAGCCAAAACATCCCCCAAAGGGCCAGCAGTCCTACTTCAGATCTTGATAAAGTCCTCTTGTCCAATCAGAATTCCTGGATGATTTTTGCACAGCTTCATAGCTCTTGATTCTGATTTCTCTTCTGATAAAATTATCAATATTATAGCCTTACACGTTAACTAGCCGGCCTACACCATCAAATGTAAAAAGTATTCTTAATAACATTCTGCAAGCACTTGAAGCTTGTTTTCTAAGCAGTCTTTTCTGAGCTGGATGAGGGACCGGCTCCCCACCTCGCCCATCTCTGTAGCAACCCAAGAGGAGATTGCAGTCTTAAACACTCTCTGGTTTAGTTTTCCTTCTGAACCAGATGTGTTTTCTGCAGTGTTTGCATGTGGGATAGAAGATTGCTGATGGCCATTTTGAAATATGGAAGGCACTTTTTTTTTTTTAGTGATCAAATGGGGGAATGTTTGGCTTTCCATGTAGGATAACACAAGCTACCTTTTCACTTTCTTTTTTCCCAATTTCCCCCCAGGAGCAGACACACATGACCCCCCTCAGGATTCCGTTCCTGTAAGCTCAGTCTCTCTTATCCCACCGCCACCGCCTCCGAAAAATGTGGCACGCCTGCTGGCACTGGCATTAGCAGAGTCTGCACAGCAGGCCTCCACCCAGTCACTGAAGAGGCCAGGCACGGGCCCGGCTGCCTGTGCACACTGCGGGGATGTAGCGGTGGCCGCAGCCGAGGACAGACCGCCCGCTCCCTACTCTAGTGTTACTCTCGAGAAAGCCTATTTCCAAACCGACAGGCCAGCAGAGCAGCCCCACCTCCAGAACAAGGGCCCTGGGCATGGTGACCAGCCAGTGCCAGACACAGCAGCTGCCAGGGACTATACCCATTCCAGCGCCACGGACTCCACGGGGCAGTCCCCCCCGGCAGACCTACCAGGCGATCAGCCACATCGGATCTATCTATCTGGGGACCCAGAGAAGGCCAGAGTCACTTCCGTTCCCTTGACAGACTCAAAGTCTGATGACCTCATCACTTTCCCTGAAGACCAGTCTGTGAAGACCAGTGGGCCGACCGTCTCCTTTGTGGAACACGATCAGCTCCATTTCTACAGTGGGGATGAGCCTCCTTCTTACCTTGGTGCAAGCGTGGATAAGCCCTATCACCCTTCAGAACTTGCAGACAGAAGTCCCGCCCCTTCTCATTTGCCTCGGGACAAAATCTGCCCTCCTTCCGGGCCCCCTGAAGAGAACACCAGCGCAGCCCCCCTGGCGTACGTGGCACATGCTCCAGCAGCGGCCATAGTGAGCGCCGGCGAAGCCAGCTGGGAGGTGGCAGAGCAGCCCAGCGCCGTGGAGTATGTAACCGCCACCCTTCAGCGTGCCCAACGAGCCAGCCGTCCCCTACCCCTACCTCCTTCCCAGAGACCCGCAGAGCAGCCCCCGGTCCTGGGGCAGGTGCAGACCACAGCCAGTATAGGACTAACCAATCCCCACAAGGTAAGAAGTGGGGCGGGTCAGTGGTATGCAGTGTTTTTCCAAAGGTGTGCCACTCTCCATCAGGGTGTGCCGTTACCTCGAGTGAGATCTGACATCTCTTTTTAAGTCCTATGGCAGATTTCCATGAAACACTTCCTGGTTGAGATTGGGATCCGCCTTTACCTTGATGCTGGCTTTTCTCTGAAAAAGGAGCAGCTTCTCCGTGGCTGTGATTTAACTATACCCTCTCCTTTTACAAAGAGATTGTGAGCGCACGAGCCCAGCTGGCCCTTGGCTGTCAGAGTTGTGGGGTTTTCCTGGCTCCCTCACTGACTCAGTGCGAGTCTGGGCAAGTTGTCCAACCATCTCGGCCAGTTTTTCATGTCTGAACGACCAAAGTGCTGTAGTCTCAGGACATTTGGAAGACTATATGCCTTACCAACTTTCTAGAAACATCAGAGATGACAGTGTCTTAGAATTTTTTGTTTTTTCAGCATTAGCCAGCACATTGTTGAATAGTCAAGCACCTGTTTTGATGCGAGACTGTTATATGCAGACTGTGAAGGTTTTTTGTCGTTGCCTTGGACTAAAAGGACTTCACCATCTAGTCCTCTATGGAAAACGCTGTTTCCAGCCACTTGTTTCTCTAGGGCAGCGTGTCCGCAGCCTTGCAGTGAGAACCATGTTTGTCCTTTGCTGCCACAGACCCACTGGAGCGGGAGGGAGAGGCGGGGGCTGTGTTGACTGCCACCTGGACATGTCCCTTCCTGTCCCTCCCTGGCCTGGGGCCTGAAAACTGCCTACTGGGTAGTGGGTGTCACTTCAGAACACTTTTCAGGTAGAACCAGCACTGCTTGTTTCACAGAATGTTCTTGGTGTTGAGACTGAGCTGCACAGATAGACCAGGTATGTGTTTTCAAGCCTAGTGGTCTTTTAAGCAAATCAGATCTGTCATGGTCCACCCCATCTCTTGAAAACCATCCTAAATGAGAACAGCTCTCCAAAGATGGGCTGGCTGCCACACCAGGTGGCCACACAGGCCTGCCTTCTTTTCCTGACTGTAGGGACAGGTAAGCCTCTGCCCTGTCCAGCACCTCTGCACAGCTTGGGAAATTTCCAGCTGCTGCCCACATGGCCTCAGCTTGTGAGTTATGAATTCAGTAATGTTTGATTCCGTAGAGGGAAGCATAAAAAAACACTCACAGTACTATCATCTTTCAACAGGTTCAAGGAGCAGTTCCGGCTCCAGAGAGGCCACCTGAACTCAGGGGCCTGGGTGACCCTGCACCTGTCCTGGTTGGGGATGGCGGGGCCGCTGCGCAGTGCCCAGCCTCCGCTCCAGCTCCCCAGCCCGTCCTTCCTGAAAAGGTGCGGGAAGGCACCAGGGCGCCCGCGCTGCACCTGCGCGCCGAGTCTGTGCCCGCGCACGCCTCCTGTGGCTTCCCCACCCCGGCGCCCCCCGCCAGGACCGTGGAGAGCAGACTGGCTGCGGCCCTCCACTCGGGCAGCACGGACGGGGCAGGCAGCGCCGGGTACCACTCCTTCATTGCCGCTGCCTCCGCAGAAGAGGCCTTGCCTTTGCCCCTCCCCATCCCACAAGCCAAGCACACCTCTCTGAAGACTGCTTACCCCACGTTCGCCAGGCCCGACCTCACCACGGAGCCCTTCGGTCCGGAAAACTGTCTGCATTTCAGTATGACCCCAAACTGCCAGTTCCGCCCCCAGAGCGTGCCACCCCATCACGGGAAAGCAGAACCGCACCCGGTGTACGCGTCCAGGTCGGAGCCACCAGCCTCCACGGGTCCCCGGTACAACACGTACGTGGCCCCTGGGAGAAGCGTGTCTGGACACCACCCGAAGCCGTGCAGCCGGGCCGAGTATGTGTCCTCGCTGAACTCGTCCGTCAGGGGCGGCTGCTACCCCGAAGACATGCCGCCGTACCCCACCATCCGCCGGGTGCAGTCTCTGCACGCGCCTCCGTCCTCCATGATCCGCTCTGTCCCCATCTCCAGGACAGAGGTGCCCCCAGATGAGGAGCCCGCCTACTGCCCACGACCCCTGTACCAGTATAAGCCATATCAGTCGTCCCAGGCCCGCTCGGACTACCACGTCACTCAGCTGCAGCCTTACTTCGAGAATGGCCGGGTGCACTACCGGTACAGCCCCTACGCCAGCTCGGCCGGTTCCTACTACAGCCCCGACGGCGCCCTGTGCGACTTGGATGCCTACGGCACGGTGCAGCTGCGGCCCCTGCACCGCCTGCCCGGCCGCGACCTGGCCTTCCTCGCCCCGCGGCTGCAGGGCAAGAGTGTGTACGCGTTAGCCGGGGGGGCGGCCGTGCGCCCCCGGCCCAGCGTGGCCAGCTACTTCCCGGCCAATGACCACAGTGTGGTCCATATGCCCCCGGTGGCCGATGCGAAGCACGCGTACGCCTCGTGGGACCTGGAGGACCTGGAGAAGTACCGCCTGCAGTCCATCCGCAGGGAGAGCCGCGCGCGGCAGAAGGCCAAGGGGCCCGTGGTGTCCCAGTACGACAACATGAGCCCGGCCGGCGTGCCGGACGACCTGGGCGGCATCTACGTCATCCACCTGCGCAGCAAGTCGGATCCTGGGAAAACTGGACTCCTCTCGGTGGCCGAGGGCAAGGAGGGGCGGCACCCGGCCAAGGCCCTGAGCCCCGAGGGGGAGGACCGCTTCTACCGGAAGCACGCGGAGCCGGAGCTGGAGCGAGCGCCCCACCACCAGGGCGGGTACGGCAACGGGCAGCCGGAGAAGCCGTGCCTTCCCCAGAAGCAGAGCAGCGTCAGGAACCGAAAGCTGCACGACGCGGGCTGCAGCCTCCCCGAGCACAGGCTGCATCAGGAAGCAAGCCATAGGCAGCTGTGCGACCCGAAGAATGGACCCCCTTTCCCCCAGGGAGCCGGCCCGCTAGACTACGGGCCCAAAGGGCTTCCAGACCCTGTCGAGCCGGTCAGCTACCTTAACTCTGGAGGGAAATACGTGCCGTCAGGGCCGGAGTCTTTAAGACCGAGCCACAAAGAGGTGCGGCTCCCCAAGGAGCTGGAGCGGCCCCGGGCCCGGCAGCCCCCGGCCGCAGAGAAGCACCCCAGAGACTGCTACAAGGAGGAGGAGCACCTGTCGCAGTCCGCGCTCCCGCCGCCTAAGCCAGAGAGGAGCCACAGCCTCAAACTGCACCACCCTCAGAGCACGGACAGGGACCCCGGCGTGGTGTACCACTACCACACCCACGGCAAGCGCCCGGGCCGGGGGACTGCCGGGCCCCAGTACGATAACCTGGAGGGCTACCACTCCCCGCCCCAGCACCAGCGAGGGGCCTTCGGAGCAGCAGCAATGGGCCCGTACATGCCCCCCGGCTTCCCCCACCCCCAGAGCAGGACATACGCCACAGCTCTGGGGCAGGGCGCCTTCCTGCCCACAGAGCTGGCCTTGCAGCCTCCTGAAACGCAGGTCCATGCAGAATGAGCCCCGGGAGCAATAGAGTTGACGCAGCCTCTGCTGGACAGTGGACTGTTCTATTTTTTTTTTCAGTAACCAAAAAAAAAAAAAAAAAGCTACAAACCGCCTCCCCACCACATTAAAAAAATAAGAAGAAAAACAAATCACCATCTTTTTCCCGCCTTCCCAGCTTCATCACCACCTCTTCCACCTACAGACTGTGTCATTTTTGTCATTTAAAGATCTGAACGATTGTGAAGCACTGTGTTGAAAACCTAGTAAAGAAATTTGTTACAGACCGTACTTGCCACATAGGGCTGGTTTGTAAGAGCCTGAGGACTGCCTTTAATGGAATTTGAGTTTGACCTTGTCCTTTCTAGCATTTGCTGCGTCCTTCAGAGCAGCTGACGCCCACTTCCTGAAGGTTTTGTGTGCCCTGTACTGTCCTGTTCCCACTGCTTTCCCAGTAGCCACGGCCTTGCCCAGAGGGTCACCTATTTTCCTTGTCAAGTCATACCCCCTGTCTTAGAAGGGGCTGTGTGTTAAATTAGAGTGGAGAGAAACTTCTCCCTGAGCCTTCACATAAGACTATTATTGGACATTTAACAAATTATAGCCAAAAAAGAAAAAAGGAATTAGGACTTTATGCGTTTAATAGTCATTACAAAATATCAGACCCATTTGATTCAGGCTGAACCATGCTCTTCTCCTGGTTGCTCCACACACTTCAGTGAACAGGCTCATCCCACTAAAGAAACTTCTTAGGTGGAAGTCGGTGACCTTCGTTAGCACCAGAAAATGACATCAGTGTTTCTAAGCTGCTGCCTGTCTTCAGTTTTTTTTTCCTCAATAGTATTTGATAAATTGTGATCCTAGTGAAGTATTTCACACCATTTGTTTTCCTAAAGCAGTTTATTTTTTCCCCCCTCATTTAAAAAACAATGAAAAACCAGCATGGTTTGCCTGGATAAACACACATACTGTCACATGATTGTAAATTCACATGTTAATTTGTTTCTAAACCAGGTGTCCTGGGAATTCTTACAGTAGGTACAAGTTATTATTATCTGTTAGTAAACTGAGCATTTCTGCAATAACACTTAGCACAGCCCATTAGACCTGCTGGAATTCTGGGCAGTGACCCTTTAGGTCCCGAGGAATTACCGTGTTGTGTCTTCCCTCTGTCCCTGGGCAATTGCAGTCTTAACTGTATTTGCCATCCACACCAGCATTTCAGGTTTAGTCCTCGCAACGCTGCAGACATGTCAAACATGTTCCATACCCAGGACTTTCTTTTGAAAGTTTGCATTCCATTTTCTCAACCCACCCCACCACAAACGCCAGACCAGAAGGCAGTCCTGTATTTATAAAACGAGTTGAGATAATCATGTCATTCCATAGCTCTTAATAATACTTGATTTTTATACATTCACATGTTTTAAATGCTCAAGTTTGTAGAAGACACTAGGAGAATTCCATTCCATTTACTGGATGGTTGCTGCTCTGGCTTTTTAAAACTTGGAACTAACGTTTATTTAGAGCAAAGAAAAATCTTTTAAGAGGCTAAATTGATGCTGCTATTATTGCTGTGAAATTGTATAAAGATTAGGATTCATGCCAGTTTTTTTAAATCTAAAAAACCATGTGATTGCATTTTAAGGGTTTATATTTAGAAAAAGAAAATAAAGTTTTAAGAGCAACACATCTACTTATTAATATATGTGGAAATACTCTGTTAGGTGTTCTTTTGTTCCCCCAGAATTGATCAGAGAGATTCAATAAAGATCATGGAGGAAATCCTGAAATTATAGAAAAGGTCTGTGAAATTCAGGCCTCAGTACAGACCCTCCTGGTCTGTAGTCCCAGTGCTAGGGAACCTGATAGGATACTTCCGTTTAGCACACACATCAGGAGCTCCGTGCAGGAATTTGCTCTTTGGTGAACATGCAGCACTAATTTTTTTTCCAACCATTACCATCTTTTTGTCAGTAGGCGACCGATGGCCGCTTTGAGGGAAGACAAGCCGTCTGAGCTCTCACAGGCAGCCCGGAGATTAGAGAAAGGAGCTGGTGTGGCCCCGAGACACAGATGGCTTTAGGAGCTGAGAGCCTAGAAAGATGTGGTTGAAGTCTGTCCAGTGTTCATATCTGTGGATTGGTCACACACACTGTTTATTCCTGAAACTAAAGTCTATTTTATAAACACTAAGGTTAATTCTTTAAAGCAGTTACTTTATTAATGTCCTATGGGTTTGGAAATATCAGGTACATATTTTGAATACAGAAAAATGGCTCAAATTCCTGGTAAAAGTGTGAAACACAATTTAGCATTATTTCACCGAGTCTAGATTCAGCCTTAACTTTGGGTGCAGTTACTGAAGGACTTTGCCTGCATCCTTCCCTTCCTAGTTATCGCAGGTAGATGGCAGGTCACTGTGAGCCAGCTTGCCTCAGCACAGTTCACCTTGTTGGTGTATGACGTCGCAGATTGAGTAGCCAAGTGTCAGCACTTTCACACGTTGATATGGAGCCTACGATCAAGGAAACGGAGCTGCCTTACTCGTGAAACCCAGAATTTTAATTCTGTTGGTATTTTCACAGCCATGTCTCCAGATTTTATCCTTTTGTTTGGCAAAATTCTGATGCCATAGCTTGGTTTGATTGAAATAAATATTCCCTGGATGTCTCGTCAGGGACTCTGCTGACAGCCCCAGAAATGCCACCTCCTTCCAGTAGATTTCATCTGAACCTTATCGACAGCTCACTGTCTTCAGTTTCCTTCTAAAAACATGAAAGTCCCTGGGATGGTCCCAAAGACAGGGCCTGCACATTTTTATAATGGCAAAGCATCTTTTTAAAAAGGTCAGGTTGAAATATCTAGGAATAATCCTGTAAAGAAGAGGGACCATTAAAGTGAGCAGAGACAGACTAGGTCATTACCACACCTGAAGCAGCAATAGATGTATACAGTGTAAATTTGAAATCCGCCCTTTAGTTTAAAAAAAAAGGAGCCTGCGAAGTCCATTTATCTGTTCCCAGCCCCGTCAGTCACCCATCCAATATGTTGGCAGAGTATCGTCTGAGCAGTGTGTGTGAGGAGTAATAATGAAAGCAAAAGTATGTCAGAAAGTTACTTCCAAGTGGTTAGAGGCATGTGACTTTTAGTACTGTGTGTTAACGGAATGTCAGGAATGGTATATTTTAACTGTGTGCAAGATAATGTCAGTGTGCACAGAGGGTCTTTTTTTCCTTTTTTGATTAGTGCTGTTAGTGTTCAAAGAATAAAAATGGTTGTTTTACAGTTTAGATTCCAAGATAGCAAAATCTGATTTTTCAACCATGACCTGCATGAGAGAAGCATCCTAGGAAGTCTTAGCTCATACTTCTGAGTTCTTAACTTTAATTTATATAGTGTTTTTTTTTTTATGTTTTAATATTTTTGTGAACTGGTGTAAATTGTTAATGCATATAAGCTTGTGTATTTTTGTAAATAGTTTGTGATTTATTTCTTGACCCATATGTAAATATTTAGAGTCTCATTTCTTCAAAGCTTATTTGAAGCTGAGTTGTGGGTTTGGGGTTTTGTTCATTTGTTCCTTTGTTTGTTTTGGTTGGGGTGGGGGGCGGGGAGAGAAGGGATTTTGTATTCTGATAATCCAGACGGAGATATCTTGTGGTTTAAAGCAAATGTCCCACTGAAAGCAATTCAAATATCAAGAAAATTATTTCAGGTTAAAACACACTTCCTGTGTACGTGTTTGCTTTCTAAACCTAATGTGAGTTATAACAAAGTAGATGGGTAATCAGGGGTAATCGGGGCTATTCTGGCGAAAAGATGAGTGTTTGCATGACATAAATTGTTATACCAAAAAGATACTTTATTTGAGGGAAGGGGTTTAATATCTCCTGTTTTCATCTTTCACAGTAGGCTGCCTGGCTGAATTTTTTCCCAGGTCAGACAGTATGAGGTCAGAGCAGACCTTGGCCTGCTCTGCAGGGTCTGTGCAGACCTGCTGCTGGTCGGGCTGCCTGCAGGCATCTGTGCATTGGGCCGCCTCCTGGCTCCCAAGCTTACAGTGCCCAGGAGACTGACCTACCTCCTTAGGGTTCTCCAGATCGGGGCTCTGTATACAGCCACTTCTCAAGATTCCCACAAAGCATCTTAGGCATCCTGTGTACTTTGTGGAGTGAAATGACCAGAAAAGAATCTCCTACACTTGGTCACCTGTTTTCAGCTGGTGTGTGGATAAAGATGAAGCATTCCAATGGGTCAGATGCTGTCAGTCACCCAGCTGCCAGATGGGGGTCCAGACGCATTCCTGTGCCAAAGTTCTTCTCCAGTGCTTCTATATCAACCAGAAATTTTTGAAGGAAAAAACAAACCCAGTATCAAGTTATTGAAATTCTAGTTTTCCTACTAGGAATGATAAATTACAAATCATTCTTCGTCCTAAAATATTAGGGCCTGTCACTTTTTTGCCAGTCATATGGAAGGAAAGTCCCCTGTTCAGTACAAGTGACCCTGGCGTGCCCACCACATTCTTTGTACTTGCTACCACACTGCAGAGCGGAAGCAAGGTGTGACATCTGCTTCAATAAACACTCCCAGCCTGAACACACGTTCCCATGGAGACTGCTGCTCAGAGGGGACAACAGACATACATGACAGCTCCACTGGGTCTTCCACTGTCCTTAATTTCCTGAAGTTGTCATTTCCATACCAACTACTACCAAATTTCCTTCATGCTCGTGAATATAGAGTCCCTTCCTCTTAAAATGTGTATTTACTTATCACTGAGGAATCAGTGGTAAATACCTTGGTGGTGGTTGAAATTTTCTTTTGTGGTTCTACGGGAAAAGGGCACACTATAGTAATATTGACTCCCTGTTACATTAAAGCTTCGAGTACCTGCAACCACCTGAAAAAAGACGTTTTATTCGCCATGTTTCTCACATAATTGCATAATTGAGAATGTATGTCTTAAAAAGAAAATTGAGATTTGATTGTTATTTTAATTATTTTAGTTA